CTGCATTCACATAAAGGAAAATTGTAATAACCCTTAAAATTTTATTTTAGACAAATTTTACTATTTCTGGACTCGATATTCCTAGAGTGCATGCAAAACGTTTTTGACCAATTAATCTTAAAAGTTTTGCAAGACAGGAATAAGGAGGGGAAGCTAAACAGGAGAGAAAGGGAAAGAGAGCCAGCCTCGGTCTAATATGCAATCATCACTGTAAAAGACTAGTCTGGTTTCTTTTGCAAGGAGAGGAAAGAAAGTTAACATGCAGAAAAACTGATTTTGATATATAAAAGAAAGTGGATTATGTAGCTGACTTTGACATTACATGGGCCTTTGACAGTTTACCAATTAAAAAACCCCTAAAATATACTACATTTAACTAAATCTCTCTTTAGATAATAAGACAATTTCATAGAGAGAGGAGCTTTTTTGAGGTTTTTGTTCTAAGGCGTGTCTCAAATGAACAATTCCACTAGGTAGACATTTCCTTCAAGTGGCCACTGCAATTGTAAATTGTTCCTGGTTTCTGCTACTGACTAGTTGTGTGGGCTTGGGGAAGTCATTTGACATTTCCGATACTCAGTTTGCTCATTTGAAAGTTGGAGACAAACAAATAGCCACTTATTTGAGATGACGTACTACTTAAAAGTGAAATTTGTTTAAAAAATAAGACAAAATGAAAGTTTGCTGGGCAGGTCATTTCTGAAGGGGCCCCTCGACTAAAAACTCAGGAATCCAGTAGCTTAGTTAATCCTGAGGTCTGTGATTTTTACTAGACTTGGAAGGGTTGCGCGAGGGGGTTATAGCCTGAAGTAGCTTCTCCCGTGCCCAACCCCCTGCTCACTTCCCATCAGACAATCCAACATCTGAGAGCAATTTCTCCAACCCCTAACCCTAGTGTGTTGTCTAATTGTCTGTACCGCACAATTTAGCACTTTCTGATGTGTTCTCTGTCTAGGAAACATCTTGGGTAGAAGAACACTCTTTTTGGACTTAGAAAAACTCAGTTTAAATCCTAGTTTTCCCAGTGCTAACTGTGGGCATCAGAAGGCTTGGTTTGCTCATCTGTAAAATGAGTGTAACCACTCTACTTTACGTGTTGTGGGATGAACAAGGATTATGTTTGTATAAAAATAACCAAACCAAACTCACTGCCAACAAATTGATTCTGATTCATAGCAACCCTGGAAGACAAGGTTGAACTGCCCCTTGTGGGTTTCCAAAACAATACCTCTTTGTGGGAATAGAAAGCCTGTATTTCTCTCGTGGATTGGCTGTGGTTTGACCTTTTGATTGGCAGCCCAAAGCACAACTAGTGCACCTCCAGGGCTCCTATGTATAAGAATAGTGGGGTGCTAAAAACAATGACTTCTTTATTTGGCACCGCACATTCTTTTACGAAGATAGTTTTGGAACTTTTAAGGAAAATACTTTGCTAGGCCAATTGGAAGAAAGGATAAGTTCTGATGGCAAGGATTGGAAGATAACACAAACATACCTAAGCTGCTCTTCATAAGAAATGAAGATGAAATTTGGGTAGGACAGAGGAAACAAAAGCAGAGAGAAAAGCGCCAGAGGGGAGTTCATGGCAGAGAAATCTCAGTGGTGCTACAGTCAAAGGGCCCAAGGAATGTCTAAAAATCAATTTTAAATTGTGTCAACGAGATGGAAATTGAGTTACCATATGACCCAGCAATTTCCCTACTGGGCATCAACCCAGAAGAGGCAAGAAACAAACCAAGGCCAGACATCTGTGCTCTAATGTTCATTGCGGCACAGTTCACAATTGCAAGGAGTTGGAAGCAACCCAAATTTCCATCAACTGACGATTGGATTAAAAAACTGTGGTATATACATACAATGGAGTACTACGCATCGCTAAAGCAGTGATGAATGTATGAAGCACATCGCTGCATGGGAAGAGCTGGAGGAAATCATGCTAAGTGAAGTAAGTCAGGCACAAAAGGACAAGTACAACATGAGTCCGCTGAGGTAAGCATTAAAAAAAAATGCAAAAGGGGCATAGGGAAAAAGCTACTGTATACAAACATTCCTGGGGTGAGGACCAGGTGGTATGGCAGGGACCAGATCAAATGCAGGGATGCACATGGTAGACAACTGAGGAGGAGGTGGGGAAAGGGAACAAAAAAATGATGAAAATAAGGAAGAAATGGGTAGCGGGGGCACGGGGCGCTAACCCACCCAAGGGGAAGGTATTGTTTATATCTCCACAGGGAAAGAGGGAACAGACTTCAACCCAGTGCTCCAAGGTGTGAATACAACATGCCTGCCCCTCCCCCGGGAGAAGGATATATCTGACCAGAGCACACAGGAGCAGACGATGGGAGAGGAGGAGAGACTGGAGCACACCCTGGCCCACCAGGCCTTGAGGACAATGACCCTAATTAGAGCAGCCACTCCACAGAGAGGACCACATGGCCAGCCCCACTATGAGACATGATGCCCCTCACAGTGTGGAAATTGCACCCCATCTGATCCCGCCACACTGAGGCAAAGCACTCTTAAAGGCCAGCGATCCTTGAACTAACTACAAGCTTTTCTTTCTTGGTATGTTTTAATTTGTTCTTTGTCAGTGGCTTGATGTGGCTAAGCTGCTATCAAAACCCAGCCCACTGTCATCAAGTTCATTCCAACTCATAGCAACCCAATAAAGAGTTTCCCAGGCTGTAAAACTTTATGGGAGCAGAGAGCCTCATCTTTTTCCCATGGAGTGGCTGGCAGGTTGGCACTATAAAGCCTAATCCATAGCCCCACCACAGTTTCTTAACCTGCTACATGGGCCTCAAATAGTCTCAATATTTCATACAAGCACATTTCCTGGGTTCCATTTTAAAAGGTAAGCAAATTGAGGTTCAAGGTAAGTCAAGGAATATTGGCAAGATATTGGTTCTAGAGAACACTGAATTTTAAATGAAAACAAGTGACAATTTAAACTCATTGCCGTGGAGACAGATTAGAACTACCCCACTAGTTATCCAAGAAGCTGACTGCCATGTAAGTCTCCCAATGGCTGATCAGTTCAAACTCCCAGTTATTTGACTAGTAAGCCAAGCCTTTGAACTGCTGTGCTGCCAGGACTCCTTTTATCGCTAAGTTTAGCCTCTATAAGAACCCCAACAATTATTTTCTGAACTAGAGACCTCTGCCACCTCACCTGATTGCTGTTGAACACTTAGTACAAAGTGCCTTCTGTAGTCATCTGAATAACCCTGTGAGGGATTACAAAAATAAAGGAGACACAGCTGGTATTGTTAAAGTTTGAATTCAAGTCCAGGTATGTCTGACTTAATAGTTGATATTCTTAATCAAAGGAGCCCTGCTGGTGTAGTGGGATAGCATTAGGCTGCTAACCATATGGTGAGAAGTTTGAACCTACCAGGCGCTCCATGGAAGAAAGATGAGGCTTCCGTAAAGAGTTACAGTCTCGAAAACCTACAGAGGCAGTTAGGGTCCTATGAATCAGAATTGACTCTATGACAGTGTGATTCTTAATCAATCTATTCCACTGCTCATAGAAAGCCTTAATCATTTAGAAGGGCAATTTAACGTGTCTCCTCAACTGGGAGAGCCAGCCCAGCCTTCTCTAACCACCTTTTTTTTGAGGGAGTTTAAGGACAGCTGTGGCATAGTGGTTATGTGATGGGCTGATAACCACAAGCTCAGCACTTTGAACCCACTCACTGTTCGACTCCTTAAGAATGTTTTTAATCTTAATCATTTACGTTTAATCTGTACAAGTCAATAATCCATGTATCTCATTCTACAAAGTAGTCCTATATATGTACACTTTCCTTTTCTCCACAGTGTTTTAAATTCTATACCAATCGCTAAATTAATGATACTATGAATAGAATGACCATATGCCCCATGGGGATGATTTATAATGTTCCCCACTGAAATGATAAAGATGCCTCTAAAGTGAACCAGGGTCACATATAAACCATAGCTAGATTTTGAGCTTGCACTTAATTATAGCCCTAATCTAAGAAAGATTAGTTCTTTTTAAAAAAAATCATTTTATTGGAGGCTTGTAGAACTCAACACAATCCATCCATCCATCCATTGTGTCAAGCACATTTGTGCATTTGTTGCCATCATCATTCTCAAAACATTTTCATTCTACTTGAGCCCTTGGTATCAGCTCCTCATTTTTCTCCTCCTTGCCCACACCACTCCCTCGCGAACCCTTAATAATTTATAAATTATTATTTTGTCATGTCTTACACTGTCCGACGTCTCCCTTCACCCACTTTTCTGTTGTCCATCCCCCAGGGAGGGGGTTATATGTAGATCCTTGTGATCGGTTCCCCCTTTCTACCCCACCTTCCCTCCACCCTCCCGATATCACCACTCTCACCACTGGTCCTGAGGGGTTCATCTGTCCTGGATTCCCTGTGTTTCCAGTTCCTATCTGTACCAGTGTACATCCTCTGGTCTAGCTGGATGTATGGCATGGCCCTCTTCAATACTTGCCCTCATGAAGAGATCACTGAAGATATGGGTGCTATAGCAAAGCGTGGTGAGGAAATCAGATGGTCCTGGGCTATCAGAAAGAATAGTGTCTGGGGTCTTTAAGTCTTGTCTTAAAACAAGCAGCCAGAGAAGTGAGGGGTCAGCTAAGTCTACGTGAAAAGAGCACACCTGCCTGTCTAATCTAAGGTTTGTAAAGAATCAAATCCAAACCCAGAGGAAGAAACAGCATCAGAGCTTAAATTGTGAACACCCAGTGTGCAGAAGGCTATGGGTGACAGGGGAAGTCCAAAATCTCTTTGCAGAGTCTCCACATGGATTAAGTCTCTGGTGAATCCCCTCTGACCATAGCCCAGGGCTGTGAATAGCCTTGCTATCAGACAGAGAGTATTGTAAGTTGACTATGTCGGATGTAGTTAGGTTAAAATGTATCACCTTATCATTTGATCTCCCTTTTGACCCATTTTAAATGTGTTTTCGTTTTGAATATTTTGTGTGTGTGTGTGTCCCCGAGAGGGTGCACCCTTCCTGGAGGTACTGCAATACCAGATCAATGCATGGAGTGGATGGAGCAAGCTCCTATTCCATCTCCCTGTTCCAAAAGTCCATTTCATATATTGTCCTCGGATAGAGGATGTATCAGATATTATGCTGATAAGAACAGATACTACACTGGATCTTAGCCAAAAGGCAGAGAAGCAAGTTTTTAATATTTTCTACTTTCTTTTCTATTGTGGGTTTTCTGTCTTATTTTGTTACTGCTGGATTCTTTTGTTTTTGTTTTTGGCTTTTCTTTTGTATGCTTTTCTTTATATGTGAAATCCAGGATAAGTAAATCTATAGAGACAGTAACTGGATTAATAGTTTCTTAGGGTTATGATAAAAGAGGTTCAGGGGAAATGAGTTAATAATAATGGGTTCAAGACAATAATGAGAGTAGTGATACCAGGAGGGGGAGGGGAAGGTGGGGTAGAAAGGGGAGACCGATCATAAGGATCTACATATAACCCCCTCCCTGGGGGACAGACAACAGAAAAGTGGGTGAAGGAGATGTCATACAGTGTAAGACATGACAAAATAATAATAATGTATAAATTATCAAGGGTTCGTGAGGGAGGGGGCAGAGAGGGAGGGGAGAAATAATGGGTTCAAGAATAAAGAAAATGTTCTAAAATTGATTATGGTGATGAGTGTACAATACTTTTCAATAGGATTCAACAATTGAATTATATGATATGTGAATTGGGTCAATACAACCTCAAAAACAACAGCATGAATAATAGTCTCAGAAATGTGCAGGGGGCAGTTCTACCCTGTCCTGCAGGGTCTCTAGCAGTCAAACTTGACTTGATGGCAGTAGAGTTGAGAAGAACAGCTGCGCCTCAGAATAACCAACCCCATTGGTTCTTCAAAATCCTTAAGTGGCAGAAGCAGTTAAGCACTCGACTACTAACGAAAAAGGTTGGATGGCTTGAGGTGCCTGGGAAGAAAGATAAAAACCCAAGCTAACTCACTGTCACCGAGTTGCTTCTGATTCATAGTGACCCTACAACATAGTATTTCCAAGACTGTAAATCTTTCTGGGGGCACACAGCCTCATCTTTCTCCAGCAGAGCTGCTGGTGGGTTTGAACCATGAACCTTGCAGTTAGTAGTCCAATGGGTAAATCATTATGTCCCCAGGGTGCCTTGGGAAGAAAGATAAGCCTGAGTGTTCTACTCTGCAACACATGGGGTCACCAGGATTTGCAGTTCACCCAATGGCAACTGGGTTTTGTTTGTTCTGTGTTTTGGTATTGCCTCTTCTTCTTGCAGCATATCCATAAAGTGGCTCTTCTGAAATCTGGAAGCTTAGAGGCTGGAGCTTTCCTGGGGCAGAGGGTTGAATCGGCCCCCTGTGCCTGGGCAGCAGTGCTGAAGGTCCAGTTCAGAGGAGAGCTCAGTGAGGCCAGTTTGCTTCTTTTCCCGAAGGTTTCTGCTGTGGAGAGAGAAGAGGCTGACGGCAGCTGCTGCCACTCTCTCCCTTGAAACCTTTCTAAGAACGGCTGGGTTCAGCCTGTGGAAATAACTGCTGTGCTTTGGAAAATGTGAAGGATTTTTCAAGGATAACCCAAGGAACACGTGAACCTCTCTTTGAAGGGTCCTCCGGGGAAATCTCTTCCTAGACTTTATGGTTTGGGACTAATTGTGCTTAAAAACAAAACAAAGACACAAAAAGCATTTTCCTTTCTAGCCCACAGCCTAGAAAGGGACAGCCCAGGATGGCTGAGTACATTAACCCTGCCCTGCCATGGGGCTTGAGGGCAGGCAGCTGCTCCACAGAGTCAGCTGACAGCCTCAGCTCCAGGGCCTAGTGCCCCTCATGCCCTCCTGCCTATCACGGAGAAAATCCTGCGTCATCACAGTTCCTGGGAGACAATTGTTGGAGAGTGGTGTCTCTCCATGGCCCAGAGCCTGCCCCATCCTACTCGGTGGTGGGAGGAAGGAGCAGACCTCTTCTCTCTGAGGCAGGAGGTCAGGCTGATGGAGGGAGAAGCCACCCAGGTTTCCTCCTCTCATGTGAGGTGCTGTGGGGAAAGGAGGCAGCAAACCTCAGCTAAGAGATTTGAGCAGGATAGGTCCCCAGAGGGCTTCAAGCTCTGGTTTCTGAGAGAAAAGGTTCCCCTTCTTCTCCCTCCTGGCTGCTGGCCTGGCTTCCCAGGCTCATAGTTATACACTCTTCGTGGGAGCCCACCTTGGAATTGAGGTGTCTTTCATAGCCCAGAGTGACATCTTTCACTCAGCTAAGCAGCCAGAGCTAAAGACTTGGCCTGGCTTTTCTGAAAGGGACAATGAGTTATTGTATTAGTACTCTCATTCTTCTTTTGGAAAAGGCAGAGTCCTACCTCAGAAGAGGCAGTCTTGGGCCATGGCTTTGAAGGGTAGAAGCAGTCATGAGTGGCTGCCCTAATAATGAGTGTTGTTTGTGGGACCAGCAGAGAGGCCAGGTGGGGCCTTGTGACCTCTGGGAGATGGTGGGACGGGGTCCTTAGACTGAGGACCTTCCTTGCTTTCAAGGGTTCATATTTACTCCTCCAGTAGGGAGCAGGGCCAGAGTAGCAAGCTTCCTTCATCATCTAGCAGTGCCTCAGGAGAGGATTCCCGGGAATCAGCCTGTGCTTTGAAATTGGACAGTGTTCTAAACACACAGGCAGGAGAGGGCATGAGAAAGGGTGTGGGGGCTGGGGACCTGCTGCTGCAGCAATTGATAGCTTCGAATGCAGGATCCATCTGCCATGTGGTGCAGGCCCTGGGGCCCTGCAGCCTGCCTGAGCTCAACCTGGTCTGGAAGACATTTCAAATGAGATTCTTCGATATAGAAAATAAGCATCGCTGGTGGTTCAGTGGTTAATTGCTTGGCTGTGAACCCCAAAGATGGCTGTTCAAAGCCACCAGCTACTCCAAGGGTGTAAAGACCTAGCCATCTGTGCCTGCAGAGATTACAACCTAGAACACCCTATGGGGCAGTTCTTCTCTGTCACATGAGGTTGATGGCACTCAAACTGACTTGCCAGGCATCTAACAATATAGGAACAGTGATAAACAAACAAACACCTAACTACCCTCGAGTCAATTCTGACTCATAGTGACCCCACGGGTCACTCCTGTGGGTATCTGAGACAGTAAATCAGGGATCCTCAAACTACGGTCTGCGGGTCACATGCGGCCCGCCAAGACATTTATCCGACCTGCCAGGTGTTTTTGCCCCATTTGTTTTTTACTTCAAAATAAGATATGGGCAGTGTGCATAGGAATTTGTTCATAGCTTTTTTTTTAAACTGTAGTCCGGCCCTCCAACAGATCTGAGGGACAGTGAACTGGCCCCTGTTTTAAAAGTTTGAGGACCCTTGCTGTAAATGTTTATATGAGGAGAAAATCTCATCTTTCTCTCTTGGAGTATTTGGTGGTTTCCCAATGGCTGACCTTACTGTTGGCAGCCCAACGTGTAACCTACTACACCACCAGGGCACATAATGACAAATTCTAGGAAACTGCAAGGGCATACAGGGAAAAAGAAGTCTCCTTGTCCCGCCAATCCCTTAGTTCCTGTGCCCAGCAGTTGCCATTCGTATCGATCGGAATGCGTCCTCCCAGCAGTACCGTTGACTGCTCTTGGAAAACTGTCCCCAAACGGCTCTTGGAAAAACCTCAACCATACACAAAGGAGAGAAAGTGGTATGATGGATCTTCATGTGCCTGGCGCCCAGCTTCGACAACGACCCACATTTGGCCATTGTTATTAAAATGGTTTTGAGAGGGGAAATCCTAAACATCAGGACGTTTCACCTCTATTTCACCATATTTCTGTAGCCTCTTTCACTGATGAAAGACCTTTAAAAAACAGAAACATAGTCTTTATGCTAGTATCACACCAAACAAATACAACAAGAGCCAAATCCTTAGTGGCACAAACGTTTAGCACCCTCAACTGCTAACCCACATGCTTGTGGTTTGAGTCTTCCCAGAGCTGTGCCACAGTCGAAAGGCCAGGCAATCTACTCGTGCAAAATCGGTCATTGAAAAGCTGGTGGGGCACAGCTCGACTCTGGCATACATGGGCTGCCCTGATTTGGAATTGGCCTGATGGCAACTGGCTTCAACGGGCTCAATGATTTTGCATTTCACTGTTGCTACAAATTGCATGAATCTTACTCCTGTCCTGGATTACAGACACGAGCCTTCTGCTTAGCCTGAAAGGTCTAAAGGGTTGGAAACTCCGGCGACAGCACCCTGAAAGGTGTCTGTCCTCTTCCAGGATATTCCTGCTTGGGAGCAGAGGATTTTCCTTCCTTCAGATTGAGACACAGAACAGTCTTCCAGGTAATGGGAATTAGAGTTGAGAGAGAGGCATTCTCTAGAGGTGATTCTGTCCTTCGCCTGCTGGGTGTCCTGGGGAAATCTCCCTCTGCAACCCAGCTGCAAATCTGAACAAATGACGTGGGTCCCCGGCAGTTAGATGACAGTCAAGGGTAGTAGTTTTATTTCTGCTGTGCTCAGAGATCGCTTCAAACATAAGTCTCTTGGACAAAGTTTTGCAGGTTTTGTGGACTGTTTGTTTCTCCACATTGTCAGTAGCATTCTTTCATGAGTTCATTCATCTGTTAGTTTGGCTTCCTGGCTACCCTCATTTTGTCCATAAGCTATGAGAAGCTCCCTGTCACAAACACACATCCAATTGATCACTTGGCCTTTATCCATCCTGACGCGATGCCTTAAAGCTTCAGGAGAGGCAGGGAAGCACCCCATACCTCGCTCCATCTCATGATAGAGCCATCAATGTATGTGGCACCTCTGACCCTCAGCTCTTACTTCTCTTAGCTAGAAAGTCATGGCCAAGCCAATCCACGTGAAGTTGGGTGTGGCAAGTTCTGGCCCCAATGCGTAGGGCATAATATACTGCTAACCATTTGTGGCAGGGTAGAAAAGTTGTAGGAAGAAGCCACTTGCCTTCCCAAAGTTGGCCTGAGAGGACGTTATCATGAGGGGGAAAAGCAAAGTGTAGGCTCCAGAAGCTCAAGTGATAACAGGTACCTCAGGCTCTCACTGGTACTAGGCTTTGTCTGTTCCCCTTTATATAGACATCGGAGATTAGGCCACCAGATTAGGCATTACATTTTCCTAAAAGGGAAATCCACTGTACCTCCCTGAGTGTCAGCGTTACATCTATATATGGAGCATCGAGAATCTACGTGCCCAGTAGCCTTCAAGACTCTGGTATTATGAGATTGCAGAGCAGAGGGCGGAGGTGTTTTGGAGTTATTTGCGAAAAATAAGATGCATAGTCAAACTAAGCTGGGACCAAGGGGGAGGGCGCAGATCTTCTGAGATCCCATCGGATGAAGCAAACTGTTTACTAGTTTCGCACAATCCTGCATTGTTCCCACAGGCACCTAATGTAGGCAGCTTGCTGTTACCAAGAAGACTGGCAGTGCCCCCTTGAGGAATCTCTAAGCACTGCAGGGAGCCCAGCTGGAGTTAGGGAGCACATTTTGCCAAGGGCACCCAGCAAAGCCAATGGAAGCCAAATCACAGAAATCAGGGAGGGGTTGGGGGATGGGTGGGTAGGAAAGGGTGTTGGGAGACCTGGAAGGAAACCCTCTGGGAAAAGCTCAGAGAGAAGTTGGGGGTGGGGGGTGGGGTGGGGAGCGGCTGTTGAGGAGAGTGTCAGGATGTACAAAGTGACCGGGATACATACACTCGATTCTAGGGAATTGGAAATTTGAAAGCACTGGGGAGAGTGAGCTTGTCACAATCACCTGGCCAAGCACCTTTCAAAGCCCTGAGTTTCCAACCTGTTATCTTGCTCAGAAGGAGATCTGATGGCGTGGTGGTTTAAGCACTTGGCCGCTTTAACCATAGGAACAAGGAGAAGACAGTAAGCCATGCTCAATCAAGAAAAGTGTAAAGAAATAAAATGACAGCCACACGGAGAAAGAGGTACACAAATATTATGATTTAGGGGTCAGATAAGATGAAAAATTAAGTAGAGATGGGAGAAAGCAAAAGGGAAATGTGTGTTAGGGAAATATGGTTGATTAATTTGATTTGTGATTATTGGGAATAAATCTTTTCTTCTGAGTAACCTAGCAGTTCCCAGAGCTGCTACCGAGGATCTTAGGGGAAGATTCATGAGAGGATTCAGCTGGGGCCAGTTGCCTGTCATGTCTCTTTGAGCTTTAATGAACCATCGCTCTCATCTCCCAAATCAGGAACTCGCAAGTTGGGACTCAGCTTCTTTTGCCCTCTGATGAGCTACGGGCCAAGTCTGTTGACTTTTGCTCTTGGTCCTCCACCTCCTGCAGGACCATTATGACAACAACCATCCAGAAGCTAACTTTCGGCACTATGCTACCACAATCCAACTTCCACAGCAGGAAGCGCCTATGACTGAATCGCAAGACTGGGGAGGGCAGAGACCCTAGGGCCCTCTAACATTAGTCATATGACTTAGTGAGGGCACTGGGCTGCTCTGGAAAGCAGCTACTCCACTGTTCTGCATTTACAGGGATCCTTGGGGATGGTATAAGAGTAAAGGAACCAGCATCTAGAACTCTGGGCAAGTCCAAAACACTTCAGACGTTGGGAGCCCAGGGACATCTTCAGAAAACTCATCCATTCCATAACAGCGGAGCACAAGCCAGAAATATTACCTAAGGTCATGGTATGAAGAGAACGCGATAAGACATAATCTTACCTTTTCCCATGCACAGAAATATTCTAGGTTTTGTTTAGCACCTGCCTCCCCTCCTCTCTTTTCCCAAGGGGGGGAAAATTGAGATGCTGTACCTTCCTTCCCTGAACTCTTCCAAGAGATGACCAGTTTCTCTGTAGGTCATCTGTAAGTGAATAATGGCTTCAAGGTCAAGCTATCTGTGCCTCCTTTGAAGGGAGAGACAGCATCAGTTAGGAGCCCTGAGAGCAACTAGATTCCCTTCTAGTCAGACTGCCCAAGTTAACCTCAACTAGCACTCAACTGCCTTCGTCTTTAGTAACAGCTGTTCTTTGTATGGCAAGTTTTTGCCATTTTGGCCATTTTTCTCCATGTTCCTTTTTCTGGGGCAAAAAGAACTACATTTCCTTTCGCCTTCTCTCTACACCACAACCACCTGCTGCATCAACCCAGCCTTTTATTCCCTGCCTCTTGATGGTCTAATTTCTTAGAAGAAAAGACCATGCCCTTTGGATTGGATATTGACTACCTTATTCTCACACACTTGACCTGTCCCCTCTCTGGTCTCTGTCATCCTATCTATACAGTTATGATGAATCTAGCCTCTCCCATTTTGGTTACAATCTGTTCGTGGAATCAATATCTTGAATTTTGTCTGCCTTCAGTTGAAACCAAGAAGGACTTAGAGGACACTATCTTTAAAGGAGAAATTGTCTTCTTTCTTCGATTTCTAGAGCTGGGTTGGGGGAAGGGGGTGCTCACTTGCCAGGAAGTAAGAGGAAAGGAATAGTAGGTAGCTGGGCGGGAGGGGCAGAGTTAGGAGGCTGGAAGATAGCATCTTGGTTTTTGATCGTCGACTCTTGCACAGTGCTACCCCTCCCATGGCTTTTGAACCTTGCACTGGCACATCCCATACCAAAGAGACCCCAGGAGCAATTGGCGGCTTCCAGGACCTCTTCTTCCACCCCCAAAATACATTTCCAGATGTCTCTGGAGCAAAGTGAAATTCCACACAGACAAGCCTTGCGGGTGGTGGTGTTAAAATAAAATAAATAAGAAAGAAAATGAAACAATTGGCAGAGAAAGGCAGAAAGAGAAAATGGAGCCCTCAGAAAAGGGAGTATCCCTGAGGAGGTGGGGACAAGAGGAGAAGGGGAGGGGGAGAGGAGGAGGAAAGTGGGCCTGTCTCTTTAAGGGGGTTGGCTGTCAATCAGAAAGCCCTTTTCATTGCAGGAGAAGAGGACAAAGATACTCAGAGAGAAAAAGTAAAGGACCGGAGGAGACTGGAGAGACCGGGCTCCTTCCAGCTGAACAAAATCAGCCACAAAGCAGACTAGCCAGCCAGCTACAACTGGAGTCAGAGTCCCAAAGACATGGGTGAGTTTCAAAAACTTTAACAGAGAAGATGCAAGGAGGTATAGAAATTTGTGAGATCACTTCCCATTTTGGGGTTGAGGGTTTACAAATTGTTCCAATCAGCTGTGTTTGTGCACTTGTTCTCTTTTTAATTCCGCAGCATGCAGCTAGATTAACTCCTCTTCTGTTATATTGAGAATGATGCTTGCTTTATTGCCAAAGATTTGCAGCAGCACATGGAGAGAGCCACAGGTCCTTGGAGTACCCAGCAGGATGGATGTGAACATGGGTCTTCTTACTCCCTCACTTCCCTCTACTTTGTCTTAAGGCTGGGGCAGCCGGCAACCCTGGTTCTGTTCCACTGGAGGCAACTGAATGTTGGGTAGCCCTCAGGTGTTCCAAAGAATTGCTTGCTTGATACAAAACCTGTACCTGATTTGGCCTCATTAGGATGTTGGGGAACTAGGCAAGCTGGACTAGGGCTTGGTCATGGCCAAGGAGGCCAAATTCAGATTCGGGAGATGAAAATGAAGCCATGAGTAACAGATATATCTAGAGGTGTGTGTGTGTGTGTGTGTGTGTGTGTGTGTGTGTGTGTGTGTGTGCATGACTATTTCTAGAAAGTAGCACAGTCTCGGTCTTCTTGAGGACATGGCTCAGACTTGGAATTCCTGCTTTTGACGGGATTTGCTGAGACCTTGGGTCTTTTGCTGAATTGGTTGAGTACTGAGGGCTTCTCCAGGACTATGAGCAAATCAAAAGCGCTTGGTTTTTGGCTTCTGGTGGTATCTACTCATAGCAAAGTGTGCAGAGCCCAAGCGCCTTTGTCTGTACAGGATTCTACAGAGACACATAGACCCTGCTCATATTTGGAAAAGTAAGGATAGTAGCTAGATTGCATCCTATGTGAAAGGAGACTCAATTGCCCCATGTATTCACCATCAAATTTAATACACAGTAGAGTCCAACAGTGCCCACTGAAAGACAGTTTTCAATGATAGGGAGCTGGTGTCCTCCTTAAGTGGTCTTATCCTAAAACACTGAGCGAGCTCTTTGGGTAGGAGAGTGAAATGGACTGAGCAATGGACTAGGAGTCAAACCAACCAGGATTGAGTCCCAGATATCTATCCTTCATGAAATGTGTGGCCTTGGGTAGGTCACCGCCGATGATCGTTTTATTACTGGGAGAATGGAAATAACAACAACTGGTGTGTCTATTTTCAGGATGGTGAGAATCAAATAAAAGCAATGCAAAAGTTCTTTGAAATTGGGCAAGCACTGTTAAAATGGTGAATCAGGATCTTCCCACTTATTATGCAATGGACGCATGCGCAGGCTGACTTTTCCTCTTTGCGGGGTGGTTGGGACTTCTTTGTGTGCTTGGGTAAGATTCATTGGGTAAGTGTGGCTGGATGAAAGGTGACTGCTGGCGGACCTCAGTTCCTCCCCCAGGGAACATTCAGAACCCTATCTAATGTCTAACAGCTGATTGGGTAGCTTGTGAATTAAAAATGGAGAAGGGGTCAAGAAGGGTGTTGCCTATGAATTCTTTGGGGGGGGGCGGGAGAAAGCCCCCAAGGCAGCAGCAGGAGAAAATCAGGAGACCTTGGGACCAGGTCCCATTATGCAGGCTTGATGATTGTCATGGAGAAAGGTACTCCTGAGGACGTAGATTGGAGCCTAAATTCTGGCCGGAGGCAATGCATTGGCCATGTACCTATGATGGAGGAGCCATTGAGTGTTCAGTTATTCATTAACAGGACATCTTAAATAGTTTGTGCACAATAGACCATCTTTTAAAAAATCATTTTATTGGGGGCTCGTACAACTCTTATCACAATCCATCCATCCATCCATGGTGGATAGACCATCTTTAACAAGGTATTGAGTTGGCACTGCTTCTGAGGTGGAATATGGTTGCTGTTTAGCCATTGCAGTGAAACAGATTATATCATGGAATCTGAGATTGGAAGAATCTTTAGAAGTTGTCTGAGCCAACCTCCTATGTAGGATTGCCTTGTACAGCAGCCAATTAAATCATCATACAGCTTCTGTCTAATTATCTCTAAGACCAGGGAGCTCGAAACCTCTGCCACATAGAATCCCTTACGACTGGAACAATGAAGAGCTCTGAATTCAGTAGTGCCTGCACAGAAGATTTATAGGGAAATGATAGCTCATTATAATTAGTCCTGACTTGGGAGGGGGTTATTCCAAATGAGTCTTTGGGATAACAATGGAACTGGAAAAGAGCCAAAGAGCAGTGGCTGCTTTTTCTCTGCTCAATAACACAATGCTATTACTGAAGATCAAAGTCTTGGCTTTGGCAAGTCTGTTGTCTGAGAACAGTGGCTGTTACCCTGGTAACCAGACTGGGATGTTTCCTTCCAGAGGTGGCTGTGTGTAGAGTAGTTGAGTTTGGTCTGGCTCAGAGTAAGTGGATGCAACTCAGGGAAAGAGTGTGGAGGCAGAGCAGGGGTCCCCTTTTATCAGATGCCTGGGGATGAAGTGCATTTCACCAAGAATACTGCGTGGATGCCACATGGATGCTGCAAGCACTCCTGCAACGATGCTGGCACAAGGCTGCAAGCACACTGCAGCCACGATAGGAGCTGAAATGAAACCAGATCCAAACCAGCACCTTCATTGACTGATGCTAGAGACATGGACTAAAATGGCTGAGCACAGCACCGCCTCCCTGCCCCCCAACCCGCCCCTACACCCCAGTGCCCCCTACTCTTTACCTTGGCTCCACAGAGCTAGAGGAGCTCTTGGAGAATTCTGCTTTGGGGTGTTTTCCCCTTGGCTCTAGGCTAGGAAAAAACAAGTTTACTCCAAAGCCTGACAGTGGAACTGTTCTCTTGGAGCTATCTGAGCAATAGCAAGATTCAAGAAACCCTTAGGAGACAAGTGGGAGGGAGAAATACAGTCTCCAAACCCATCAAGGCAGTAGCCCAGCCAGGGGTACCTTGTTTCCCCCATTGCCTCTTTGTGCATCATTGTGAAGCCCTGGAATCCATCCCTGTGGTTTAGTTCTTGGCCTTCAAAGACAATAATGGTGGAGGTGTCCTCGCTGTCCACACATCACTGGGTGCAGAGAAGTTCATGTGAGGGCACTAGCATGATTGGCTGGAGTCGGTCGCATCCGCTGGGCCAGTTGAGCTGCAGAGCTTTCCAGTCCTTTTCGCTGCCAGGCCCACCAGGGCCAAACTCGTGTCACGAGCTCAGCAAGCGCTGATTGATTAATCCCTCTCTGGCTGTTGCAGAATGGTCCTCCTGGAAATCTCTCAGCTCTGCTCTGACCTCTGAGTTCTCTCTGCCAGGCTCTCCGGAGAGCAGCCAATGACATCCCAAAGAAGAGAAGGATGCTTCGTTTCCCCCCTCAGATTCACACTGCAACCAAGGAGCGAGAGGGAAATCAGTTGGAGACTGATCTCAGTGATAACATATGACAACTGTTGTCTCTTAGTTTAGTGCTAGGGACCACCCATAAGTGGACCAGGTGGAGACCATGTGTCAGGGGTCAGAGTTAATAATTAAGCTCCTAACTCTGCCTCCCAAATAGGTAATTTGAGCATAAAACTGGCATGCCCCTGTGTGCTTGTGAGTGCACGCAAGTGCTCACGTGCGTGCCTGTGTATCGTGTGTGGATCTTGGGTAGCACAGGAAGCATAGTGGTCCAGATGCTATTGCCATAATAATAGTATTACTTGTCTCAAAAAAGAGGACGAGTTTCTACTTTATTTAAGACTGTGCACATGACTCGACTATGCACGAGGGCTTGGATTCCCAGGAGCCAGGGACTGAAGGGATCCTTTTTAGTTCTTGAATGTGGTATGTGTTGATATCATGTTTGAAAGGCAAGATCATAGACAGGGCTTTGTTGAGGATAAGGCCAGAAGCAAGCGTCTTTGTTTGTATCTGGCACCTCCTGATGATTGTTGTTTTACTCCTAGAGCCCACCCACTGAGGCCCATGCATCCCCAGTACCAGTCACTGCTGCTCTAGCATCTTGGCTCTATCGACTTGTATAGGCCCTGATCAAGGAGGCCTCTGTTCGCGGGTGAGGTTAAGGGGTGTGTTCTGGGAGGAGGATAAGACTGTAGTGCAGCTTAGAGAATTAGGGAGATGGGGCCAGTTTCTCACTCAATGAGCCTGCCTGTTGTTTAGCTCTATTGTGTAGGGTTCTTCTATCTCTCCCTTTGTCAGCTAGATTCAAGGGACAGGCTGGGAATTGTACAAGGCACAATTGGTCTCTTTCTGCTCTCCTTTTTGAAGAAAGCCCTGCCTTTCCCCCCTTTGATGAGCAACCAGATTCACACTGAATTTCCATCATGGAGCCAGTCCTTGAGGCGTGCCCAGGGCATGGGAAAGAAGGGAGGGCCTGGATGCTCGCTCGTAGCTGCTGCTTAAAGAGATAGCTTCAGAATCAGCACAGCCCTTTACATGGACAAGGATCAAGATGAGTCCAATGGTCCTATTGATAGGGAGGAAGGCAATATGTCTGGCTAGAGATTGATTAGACCTGTTTGGGGAGTTTGCAGATAAATCCAGCCAACGCAGAACTAATTATTTCCCCCTTTCCTTACTTTTTGCACATGAGACTTGATTAGATCCATTTAAATGTTTGAGTTAAGCTGTCTTTGGTCTCAATTCACAGGCATGCGTGTTCTCCCTGCCAAGACTGCAAATTAATCTAGAGTAATAGACCTTAGAGTTCTCTTGTTTTCCGTGGTTTATAGATTACTGCTAAGGTACTACATTCTGTGACTGAATCCACATATAGAAACTTGAAAACACTGGAAGAGGGTCACCATTCTTCTCTTTAGCCTTTTATCAAGGTCAGAAAATTGAACCCAATGGAGTTCCATTGGGAAATATTATTCCTATATAGTTCTTTTCTGCCACCTTTACCTTGACACAGGCTGTGCTTAGCCTGGAAATGTGAGGCAATCTTTTGAGAGAACCAGAGAGTTTCTCTTCTCGAGTCCCTTCAAACCAACACCCCTTTAAAGCATGTGGGGCACCGAAATGGAAAGCCTGTAGCTTTACGCTACCTTTCACACACCAAAGGACACCTCTGGGTCTGCTGCAAGCCAAAGTGAACCTGACGGACCTTCCTCAGAATTCATTGATCGTCACCTCCTTTGATGAAGAGATGTTTCCTTACATATTCTGTTTTCCTTAGTTGAATCCAAAATCTGGCTTTGGCTCAGACAGAGGTTCTTCACTTGTGCTGAAACTGAAATGCCCTCAGAGAAAACGTTGCAATTGTGACAGAGATGGACTTCTGATCCTTATGCTGAGATTGTCGAACGGTTTGTCACACACAAGTGATGGATTTATTCAAACCCATTTATTTCAGACGCCATTAAGGCCACTTTCCTCCTGTCCCTTGGTTGGAGGGACAGCAGAGCAGAAAAGGGGGCACTAAACTATCTGAGCTCTAGGAAAACAGAAGGAAATGGATGTGAGAAGAAAGCATGTATCAAAAGTTGCTGCCAAGGTTGGCTAGCCATTTATCACCCATGGGGAACACTGCATAGGGCACTCTTAAGTTCTCTGGATGATGATCGAGGGATCAAATATATTAATGATACATATTTTTCACCTTTGTAACCCTGGAGGGGGCATCAGCTAAAGCTTAGGTTTGCCAGAGTTCAAGTTCCTCTACCCCAATCATACCTGTACCACTATTGAGGCCTTCCCAGGAGGAGAAAGCTGGGGTGAGTGAGTGGGCCCAGAAGGGCCATTTGTTGGGGTGGATGGTTCTCCTTAGCCTGGGCTAAACCAACAGTCTTGTCATTGTTCTCTGGGTCTGACCCCCTCCCCACCCCCAGGCCCGTGGGCCCCTGGAGAATACCAATGAGCCTCCTGAGATCTCAAGGGCAAACAAGGCTCCTTTGTCTAAGATAGCTATGGAGGGCTCTGGCCACACTCTGACCCTGTGCTGAGGCGAAAGGGGACAGTGGGGTCACCGGCCTTCCCCGCTCCTACCCCGAGGCCTCAGAGCCCCTCTAGACAAGATGAGTATACAAGTTAGTGGTGGAGAAAAGCTGCACAGGCCGAGAAGTCACCCGCATCTCCATTTACTTCCAAGGTCCCGTTCTTGACTCATAGGATTCATCTAGCATCTGAGCCTGTTGAGAAAGAGGAAGATCATTTTCTAGAATCGTTTGGTGAAAACAATAGCCAGTTTCAGCCAGGAAGTTGCTCTATCTGTTACACACATATGCATAATTGCATATTGGTACGTATGAACATGCATGTACACACACATATGCACTATGGGCTGGCTCTGATGAGGGTTTCTTACCGACCACTCTTGCAACCTTTACGCTAAGTAAACTCAGTTACCGCTTAGCAGCAGCACAACTCCAAATGGATCACTCTCCATAGAGGCCAGGTTTTCTGGCAGCAATGCTTCCATTCTTGGGAAAAGGTATCCAGTTCTGCTGTAAATGTTAGCTACTATGTTTGCTTGACTTTGGGCTTCTGAGCCTCGTCTCGGGCATGACATATATGCCTCTTTGAAGAAGACTCTTCAAAGGCCCAGAGGAGGGCTGTCATTTTGGGGGGTTGGAGGGTAATGGGACTCACCCATTTTGTGACTCTGGGAACAGAGCCTCAGCTTCCCCATGATAGAGATAACTTTTCCCCTCAAAACTAGTCATGGTGGTGCAATATGCCGTCATGCAAATCGTCAGATGCACATGTGCTCAGGATTAAAAAGAAAGGGTCCTAGAGTGAAGAGGACCAGGCAAAGGACTCTTGCATCCCCTGGTATAGACCAGTGAGCTCGGCTTGGAGAAATGCTTGAGTTCAACCAAAATCCATATGAGTTATCTCTTTCGCTAAGGAATCACAACATGCTTATTTGAAATTTGTAGATCCCCAATACATTTACTGACTAGATAAGTGCGTGTCTGTGTGTATCCCACTGCCACTGAGTTAGTTGATGCTGCCACCCAGTGACCCTATAGCAAGTATCCAAGACTGTGAATCTTTAAGGGAGTCGGTAACCACAGCTTTCGCCCAAGGAGTGGCGGGCAGGTTCATGAACCACAGGCCTTACAGTTAGCAGCCCAGCACTTTGCCCAGCATTGCCATCAGGGTGTTCTCTCGAGATATGCATATACATCTACATCTATGTATGTGTGTGTGTGTGTTTATTTTTGTCTGAACAGCTTAACACATTCATTCTTTGTACCCCTTTGAGACTTGTCCATGAGGCAAGGGGGAGCCATTTCTTTTACATCTAAGTTTCATTCCATGTGGCACCTTAGAGGATAAGGGCTAGTATGTGGGGTAGAGTTGTTTTCAGAGTCTGATACTTCTGTGCCTTTCCCATATCTCAGCAACAGTGACATGGAGCCTGGGATACCAGGTTTGGGGATCCTAGCACCTTCGGGCACCTGGGCTCCCAGCCCTGGGGTGTTTTCGCTAGCTTTGCTGACTTTGCATCGTCTCTTTGTAGCTGCTTTGGCAGAACCTCAGAGTGGAACTGAGTGTGGGGACATAGGCTAAGCTGCAAAATAGGAAGAGAGCCGTTCAAATAACAACAACAACAATTTAACCCTGTATTTTATCATTGTGAATAATAGTAATTATTTCCATCACTAACTCCTGCCCTCTTTCCTTCAGACTACGGTCCCTTGTCCTCTCAGTGGAATCTAGCATTCCAGGAGCAAATGTTCAGGACTTATTCAGAAGCACATAATTTCCAAAGTTCTCCTTACTGTACCTGAAGTGCCCTTTAAGACTCAGATCCCTCCGGGAGGAGATGAGCCAGTCAGGGTGCGATGTAACAACGATGAGAAATACAACTTTCCTCTAGTTCCTAAATGTTTCCTCCCCGCTCCCACTACCATGACTCAAATTCGATCTTGCAAGTCTGGCTAGACAGAGGATGTACACTGGTACAGATAGGAACTGGAAATACAGGGAATCCAGGGCGGATGAGCCCTACAGGACCAGTGGTGTGAGTGGCGAAACAGGGACAGTAAAGGGAGAGTGGGTAGGAAAGAGGGAACCAATTACAAGGAACTATATGTGACCTCCTCCCTGGGGGACAGACAACTGAAAAGTGGGTGAAGGGAAACGTCGGACAGGGCAAGATATGACAAAATGACAAAATACCAATTTATAAACTATCAAGGGCTAATGAGGGAGGGGAGCGCGGGGAGGGAGGGGTAAAATGAGGACCTAATGGGGGTTTAAGTGGAGAGAAAATATTTTGAGAATGATGTACAAATGCACTTTACACAATTGATGTGTATATGGATTGCGATAGCAGTTGTCTGAGTCCCTAATAAAATGTTAAAAAAAAAGAAAATCAATGTTAACACTTTCATTGCTCAAATAAAATCAATATGTTAATCCAGAAAAAAAAAGACTCAGATCCTGCCTGACAGTGCCACGATATCTAGGTCACTCTCACTCTTCCTGCCCCCTCCCAAATACCCTTCACCTTCTGTAACCACTTATTTGGCTGCCTAGAACTCTTAGTTGAAAATATTAAGTCTACATAGCTAAGTCTTTCCAGTAAACAAACACATAGCCCTCCCATGTGGCAGAGTCTGTATATTTATGTGTTCGCATCCCTCATAACAGCACAAGTGGTGTTCTGGACACCTAAGTGCTCCATAAACAGTTGTTGAATGACAAACCAAGCCAAGAAAACAAGCAAGCAAACAAACGAAATGGACTGATGAGAAAGGAGGGACTGGTTGCATAATCTCTCTAGTTTGTTACTTAAATAAATGAATTAGGAAGAACAAAAGCTGGGAATTAAAGTAAGCCTTTATCTTCAAGAATGGAATAAAGTAAGGATTTTGAGTCCATTCAAGATTCCAGACTCGCCTGTGTTTGGACTCTGTCGTGAGCACCATGTCCCTGCTTGTGAGCATGGGTGGCATGAGCTACGTCTGATACCTCCCTGACTGTTTTCTCTCCTCTTTCTGCAGGCTTGTTAGAGTGCTGTGCAAGATGTCTGGTAGGGGCCCCCTTTGCTTCCCTGGTGGCCACTGGATTGTGTTTCTTTGGGGTGGCCCTGTTCTGTGGCTGCGGACATGAAGCACTTACTGGCACAGAAAAACTAATTGAGACCTACTTCTCCAAAAATTACCAGGATTATGAGTATCTCATCAATGTGTAAGTACCTGTCCTCCTAGAAAAGCCCTCCTCTTCCTCCCTCTCTCCTTTCTGGAGATACAGAATCCGTATCTTAGTGACTACTAGGAGTTGGATAAAGAGCCACATAGGAGACGGACTCGCTCTACATTGGCCGTATTTGGCTCCCTCAATTAAGGGGGATGTGCCAGATTTAGAAAGGGGGATCTGCCTGCTGGCCAGCCCACTCCTCACCTTCCCCTTGTTTTCGCTCATGTTTCCATCTATCTTATCACAATATGGTTAATACTTGCTGAATTGTAACCTCCCTAAGGGTAGATACAGGAAATTTAGGGAAGGACAAGGACCAGACTGAGTGAGATCGCTGCTCTTGATTTGATACTTCTCAAGTCTGCTCAGGTCTAGCAGTAAGCCTCCCAGTTCCTAGGGCATATTAGGGTCTTGCTTCTTGAGCTCTTTTCCTCCATGCCTACCTCTTCTCACCTCACACCTCTAAGGTAGCCTCTCTGAAGGTCAGGGAAGGGGATCAGGACCATTAGTCCTTCAGGTCCTAGAATAAGCAAGTTGTGGGTAGAGGATCGATCATGCGTTTCTGGTCCCATGCTTTCTGTCTTTGTTTATTTCCGTGAGGGTGGGGCAATGGAGGAAGGAACCCTAGAGAATCCCTAGCCTTGTTCAGGTGCCCATTCAGGTGTCGATCTCGTTTATGCAGGAAGGGCCACTGGGTCCTCATTAAGATTATCTGGTCTCTTTTATTACATATATTTGTCCATGCAGGATCCATGCCTTCCAGTATGTCATCTATGGAACTGCCTCTTTCTTCTTCCTTTATGGGGCCCTCCTGCTGGCTGAGGGTTTCTACACCACCGGCGCAGTCAGGCAGATCTTTGGCGACTACAAGACTACCATCTGCGGCAAGGGCCTGAGTGCAACGGTAACAGGGGGCCAGAAGGGGAGGGGTTCCAGAGGCCAACATCAAGCTCAGTCTTTGGAGCGGGTGTGTCATTGTTTGGGAAAATGGCTAGGACATCCCGACAAGGTGATCATCCTCAGGATTTTGTGGCAATAACAAGGGGTGGGGGAATGAATGCACGTGAGTCTGTAGCCTCACTCTCACTCAAGGTTGGGTCCTTGCGAGGGGCCTGGCTTTTGAGTGAGGTAGTGATGGCTACAGTCGAACGAGAAGGTCAGGAAGAACGTGGTGCCTGGCCGGCTTAGCCTCTCCTTTCAAATGTTCCCTAGAAAATCCCATCACGAAGTGAAAAGCAAGCATAGGGTGAGATGCTTTCTACAGTTGAACTATTTCTAAGTCATCTGTTGGTATCCTTCTATTCTCATGGTAGCAAGGACCACAGCAAGAGTGGACCTGACTGAACAAATCTAAGATACCACTCACTGGGATTGAGATTTAGGCCTGATCTAATGTAAATTGAAAAACTGACTCCAAGGTGGAATTCAACATATTCTGGGGTCTTATCCTGTTGGATGTCACAGAGGGAACTAGAGTATGTGCACATTTAACTTCTTTCAAGTGTTATTTGTGCTTCTAACAAGGTACATGGGGGCTGATCATGTACAGGTTGTGACAATGTACAGCCAGCAGTTGACTTAGAAAGGTTTGGGATCTGAAATTTAAATCTCCAATTGGCTTTGTTCAATGACTAGGGACCAAAAGTCCAATGACAAGGAACATTTTCTAAGCTCAGCCTCCTAAGGTATGAAGTGGCACGACTTTCTTCAAGATCTGTTTTGTTTTCTTTACACCTTATCTACCCAGAAACTCTCCTGAAGCCTCTCTAACCCAGGGGTCCATCTCACTCCAACCCCCACCCACTACCCCCACCCTCTGTCACAATTGGGACCATTTCTTAGTAGATACTGCCAATGACTCTTGGCAGAGATACCCTGTTCACTAATTTCAGTTGGTGGAGATTCCTGGAATCTGGTTTTGTGTCTGGCACATGCCACTCCAAGATCTCCCAATTTGTGTTTCAACATCTGTAAATTAATGCTGATCTCTAACCACCCCATGTCAATCATTTTAGTTTGTGGGCATCACCTATGCCCTGACTGTTGTGTGGCTCCTGGTATTTGCCTGCTCTGCTGTGCCTGTGTACATTTACTTCAACACTTGGACAACCTGTCAGTCTATTGCCTTCCCCAGCAAGACTTCTGCCAGCATAGGCAGTCTCTGTGCTGATGCCAGAATGTACGGTGAGTTAGGGAATGGATGCCTTGGACTTCCCATATTCTATGGAAGCATAATCTACCTGGTTCTTTTTCTAGGGTAGAGGGGGGGGTGGTTACGGGGGGTGGGGGGTGGATAAGATTAGGTTCCTGGGTCTTAGATTGTTGATCATTCGCTACAGAAACTAGAAAGCTTTCTGCCCTGGCAGGAGAGCGTCTTGAAAGTGGTGGGAATTTTCTTGGCTGAACAACAGATCTATTCTAGTTGACTGTTGCTGCCACCTCAGAAGCAACACATTTCAGTAATAAGGGCAAGATTTCACAACTTTCTCATAACTCTTTCTCATTATTGCAAGACTCCTTTTAGGGAATAGAATCTGGATTATTTATAGGATCCAACTTTTCAGCCAGGGTGATTAAAGATGGAAACAGGGCTCTGGGAAAAGTCACCATGTGGCCTTATGACTCCATCATATTTATCCTGGTTAATTTGTGTGTTTTGCTTAGGTGTTCTCCCATGGAACGCTTTCCCTGGCAAGGTGTGTGGCTCCAACCTTCTGTCCATCTGCAAAACAGCTGAGGTGAGTAAACAGTTATTTTACAATGGAATGGTTAGTCCCATACAAATGCATACCCCTGACCTTACATTTTAAGGACCACAGGGTCTCTTTGATAGATTCTGAGTTATCCGGTTGCTGTCTACAAAATATCACCTCAGGATGCCTGAGCCAATGGAACATCCATTTTCTCTAGAGCTGCATAGGAAAACTCCCATTCCCAAACTCCCCCCACCCCCTAAAAATAAGTTGATAGCTTTAAGTACAGATGGAGTTTAATGGCAAAATCCTCCAAAAGAAAATTTTCAATCTTTGAGCTAGAAAGAAAAAAAAAAGATTTATCACAAAAGTGAGCTGTGCACAGAGGTTTGACAAAACACTTCCCATTTTGGAATTGCTGAGCATGGATTTTTTTTAAATTGGAAAATGGAAGATTTTATGTTGCAAATAGATGAGGCAGGGGGAGAAAAGTAAATCCTGCAGAGGGAGACAGTAGACTATCGAAAGCGAAATGAGACCCTGGGCAAGACTCTAGGAAGCAGTTGATTATTGACTACATTATTCTACGAGTGTTCTGTGTTGGTGCCATGATGTACACTGAAGAAGAGGAAGTATACAGTCAGTGCAGACTAACAGTTTAGTTAATCATGCATAGTTAGCACACAGGAAAGATAGCAAGCATTTAGAAAGCCACATTCCTGCTCTACAGCAGAGTATCTCTTTGCCGTTTTAAGCAGCATGTTTTCCTCTTGTTCTTTCCTTACAGTTCCAAATGACCTTCCACCTGTTTATTGCTGCATTTGTGGGGGCTGCAGCCACACTGGTTTCTCTGGTGAGCTGTTTTCGAATGACTTTGGTAAATCAATGATCCTGAGTTAAGGTGCAGCCATGCTGAACAGGATGCTGGAGAGAAGCTATTGTAAGGAGATGGTTAGCAAAAAGTATAGAAAACTGTGAGCCTCTCTATAGAGTTTGGGCTGTAATGGTAGAAAACTATAGAAATTAAACAGAAATAAGAGAAATGGCATGAGGAAAGAGGTGGTTCACTCTCGTGAATGCAAATATTTAGCATTAAAAATCATGCAATATTGCTAAGTGCTCTGCAACCATAAAACTTCTGGTCCCTCATGCTTAGCCTTTTATATAGAGCTGTGTTGCTTTGCACTTTGTAAAATACATTGATGTCTTACGCATAAGAGGGCTTGGTGTCAGGTGTCTACACTAAGCATTCTCTGTCTCCAGGTTCCAGACTTAGGGGCCTGATGATGGTAGAGTCCACGTGTTATTCGCTTACCTTAGGGAAACGTGGTGCTAGATTGCTGAGTATCTGAGGGGGATTCAAAGAGTTTGTGGAAAAATTTCATAATATTTTGAATCCATTTTTCTGGAAAAGTTTTGAAGTCCCCTTGTCTGTGAGGTACAGGTCCTGGTTGAGTTGATTCTCTGAACCTGAGCCATTAGAAGGCAATGTCTCAGAGAGGACTTCTAGTCGAGTACGTGGGGAGAAAGCCTGGGAAGTGCCTGTTCTTGTTCCCAAAGGGATTTGAAGAGGCTGCGCTTCCTCGTCCTCTCACTCACATTGTCTCTTCTGTTCCCCACAGCTCACCTTCATGATTGCTGCCACTTACAACTTTGCCGTCCTCAAACTCATGGGCCGTGGCACCAAGTTCTGATCTCTTGTAGAAACCTCCCTTTCTCTAACAGCGAGGCTCTAACCACACAGCCTACGATGCCGTGTCTCTCATCTTAACTCTTTGCCTTCGCCACTGACTGGCCCTCTTCTTACTTGACGAGTGTAACAAGAAAGGAGAGTCTTGCAGTAATTGCCGTTTCTCTGTGGACTCTCCCCTCTTATGTACCTCTCTTAGTCTTTGTGCTTCACAGCTGGTTCCTGCTGGGAATGGGAAATGTCTGAGAAGATGACTCCCCAGCTGCAAGTCCGGAAGAAATGGAGGCTTTAATTGAATGTTCAAGCATCTTTTAAGGACCAGGAAGTGTTTTCTTCTCACAGGGTACTTCCACTGATGGAAAACTAAGTGAACAGAAAGATGCTCAGGTAGAGGGAAGGAAATTACTTGGTCTCCTTGCCATCTGTAGGAGCCAAGTAGACTCTCCTTGGTGTGCAAGACAGAGATCTCAGTCTTGTTTCTGTAGTAGCACTGAAGCTAGAAGAAAAAAGAATAGCAGCTATGCCTTGAGAGCATTTGCCCAAATCTGCCTACTGCAGCTGGGAGAAGGGAGTCAGAGCAAGGATCTTTCACTCACAGAAAGCGAGCACTGACCCTGATGGTGACGGACTACTGTTTAAGCTCTAACTTAGCCAACCCTAATTACAGCACATGAGAGCATAGCATCTGTGTAGACAGAGGGGGCGCCTAGCCTTGCACCTTGTTAGGGAAGACACAGGATGTTGCCAGTATCTTCTCACTCCTCCTTTCCCTCATTACAGCTACCATGACAACCCTGGGGTTTCCAGGGAGCTGAAAATAGAGGGAAACTAGCTTCTAGGAAAAGGACCGGCCTAAAGAGCAATAGTTGCTGCTGGTTAACAGTGTAACCTAAGAGGGCCCTCTGGTAGACACAGGATGGACTCTTTGGATAGTGTGTTATTATCATCATTATGTTTTTTTCAGTTAACTGTGTTTTCTGGCCTCTGTTCTATCTTCGCAATGGTGCTCTTTTCATGGGGTATTGTCAATTATGTAGGTGATCTACAGATCTTGATTTGTTTCAGAATGATGCACATTTCACTTTTCCCAATTTGTTTGTCCCCTGTAACACATTTGGGGTTGTGCCCGAAAGGTCTGACGGATGGTTCCTTGGTTACAATTCCTCAACAAATGAAAATCAAACACAAAAGTTATTTAAAATTGATGCATTCTATGCATCTATTGGGATTTTCTACTATTGTGCCCTCTGTAGAAACAAATTTGGCAAAACAAAATTTGAATAACTTACTTGAGCATTCTAGCTAGTGGGAGGTTTAATTTACATCTTGTGTATTGATGGGTTAGGTTTATCATATAGGTTATTATCTTCAGGTATAAATCTCATTACAAAATGAATGCATCACACATCAGCTATTTGCAGTTGGTAAGCTTCCATTGAAAAGGACAAGCAGAAAGAATTTGAGACCTGAATCGCTCCCAGAGTTCAGCCTTCTCTTGATATTTCTGTTAACTTGGGGTTTAAGAAAGTCTGAGTGGTCTTCGTCAAGGAAAGATCATAAGGGTACAACTGTAGCTCTTTTGTTATCAAAAGCTGTTTTGTTTTTAACCCCCAATGTCCAAGGAGATGTAAGATCATTACAAAAAGACACTTGGGTATGTATATATATATTTTCAGACCAGTCTATAAGATAGGCTTCCAGACTACATAGAGGGAATAGAGGGAAAAGATTCTGTAAGAAACCAATCAAGATCAAGAAAAGTGAAGTAACCCACGCCTTGTGTTTTGTTTTGATTTAATGACATAACGAATAACCAACTCTTCCCTGAAAACCTCACTTGCATACATACACACATATACACACACAAAAAGAGTTAATCAACTGAAAGTGTTTCCTTCGTTTCTGATGTAAAACTTCAATGTTAACACCCATAAATATAAACTTTTAGAAACTTATCTTATAAAATGTATTTTATAAAATTAAAGAAAATAAAATTAAGAATGTTCTCAATCAAGCAGTGTGTCTTTTGTGTGACTTGTTCTCTTTGACCCCACAGTAACCAAAACCTAAAATCCAAACCTATGGTCATTGAGTTGAATTCTGACTCACAGTGACCCTACAGGACAGACAAGAATAAATACATCGGGTTGTCAAGGTTGTAAATCTTTATGGAAGAAGATTGCCGTGTCTTTCATTGACAGAGCCACTGGTAGATTTGAGCTGCTGAGCTTGAAGGTAGCAGCCGAGGACGTAGCCCTTGCACCATCCCGGCTCCTTTGATCCCACAGTCAAAACCCTGATAGGTGTACCTTTGATTGTGCCTCATTCAAAGAGTTTCGTTTTTCTCATCATCAAAGCTTTCCTCGCTACAACTTCCTGAAATACTGCCATTGAAGCCATTCAGACGTATAATGATCCTATAGGAGAGAGTAAGGTTTCTGAGGCTGTTACGTTTTCATAGGAGCAAACAGCCTCATCTTTTCCTTGAAGTGGCTGATGGGGTTGAACTGCCAATCTTGCCATTAGCTCAACACATAACCCACTGTGTAAGCAGGGCTCTGCTTTTCTAAAATAAGGGGTAGATAAATAGATCACTTCTAGTTTACAGCCAGACACACTAAGAACTAGAAGCAAATTATCCAAAGAAACCCCAAAAGTACATGTCTGAACTTTGACTAGACCTCAAGTCCTGTCACATGAGTTCATTTTCGTTTTAAGGTTTGTTTTCTCATAGAAGTTGAGTTTCATGGTATTCTGTTAATTCAGAGTCAAATATCATTACTTCCTCAATATGACAATGGAGCCATAGCCCCTGATGTGGTTAGGATTAGGCTAGTGTTTTCTTTGAATTGTTTGAATATTCTAATAATGGCCCCATAGTGTATTACATGTGAATGATATTTAATTTTACCTAGAAGATTCCAAATGGGCAGTTTGTTGTGGGGAAAAAGCTGAGACTAACCCAAACCAAACTCACTGCTATCATGTTGATTATAATTCACTGTATATGGTTTCTTAGGCTGTAAACATTTATGGGAACAGACAGCCTTATCTTTCTCCTGCTGAGCAGGCTGGTAGATTTGAGCCACCAACCTTGTGGTTGGCAGTCCAATTCTTGCCCCAATAGTACCCCAGAGAAGAGACAGGGCAATATCAGTTTAGACAGGTGAGAGTTGGATAGGTAGAATAAAAGTCAACCACAGCTGTAGAGATCTATTGCCCTGGGAGGCCAGACCACTAGCAAACCTGGGACATAGCATTAAAGCCCTATCACAACCCTGAGCTAAAATTTGACACTCTTGGGCAGCACTTAAAAGCTTTGACTTTTTAAGTCGAACCTGACTTAAAATTAGCTCTTGATTCTTTGTCCCCTAGTGGTAACTAGCAAGGAACATGATTAGAGGGAAAAGAGACTAACTTGGGGTGGGAATGTGGTGGAGGAGACACACAATTTGAACATCATTGTGGGGCTCCATTGAAAAGTAGTTTCAGCTTATTCCTCTGATTTCTGTTTCACCATAATTAATACTCTGTAAGTCTGGTTGGATGGCTTTAAGAAAAAAAGAAGAAAAATATGACAAGGACTTATTTTTAAACACTGGCAGATAAGGACACGGCACCATATTTTGGAAAACTGATTCAGGGGACTATAGAATGAATGTATTTTTGCCTCAGCGGAGCCGAAAGCCAGTTCCCAAGAAAGCCGTGTTCTCCATCTGCCCTTATTTGGCTCTGCCCTCTGGGACTGATCTATAGATGGAGTTTCCAGGCTCTCAGAAGCTGAGAGCATCTCCAGTCTATCAATTGAGCTCATTGTTCTTAGCTCTCCCACACACATAAACCTCCTTTCTCTAAACTGAAAGGGTGTTCTTTGTGTTTAGATCAGCCAAGGATCAAGATGCAGCAGTGTAAACAAGAAATATTTTCTTACGGCACCAGTTGTGTTGTTTTTCCCTTCTTCAGGGTCAGTATTGAGTACCGTCATGCAGGGGTGGAAACTCAAGCTTTGTCCAGAAAAACCTTTGTTCTTTCATTAATTCATTGCACAAATATTTCTTGAGCACCTACTACTCTTTACTCTAAATCCTGGATATTTCAAGTTTGGGGATAGGATGGGTAGAAAGGCAAGGAAGACAAGATCTCAAGGATCTCATTCTGATGTAGCCAAGGCAGAGAGGCTCCCAGGGTGTACTTGAGTGGAGGCGGGGAGCATGCAAGAAGCAATGTGATCTGTTGGCTGCAATCGGCATCTGAATTCTCCCCTCAGTATGTGGGAGAGGTCATGGGTAAGGGCCATGACTTCACATGGTTTGAGTGTTCTAGGGCTCTGAGAAAAACAAAACTCCAATTATTGTCCTGACAACTTGTGATTTGCTTTCCCTATGTCACCCTGCCTCTTGCCTTAACATGTGACAGCATTTCTGCACACACTGGCACAATGCGTGTGCGTGCTTCCACCCACGCAGTCATTTGGGGAGTCAGAGGGCATATGGTTAAGGATTTAAATCAACACAGGCTATTCAGCTTGGCTTGTCCCCTCTATGCAGCCTAAATCTCAGATGCCAAGGAAGTTCTTCTCCCTTTGAATGTTCTTACTGTGAGCACAGTGTGTCTATGTGGGTATTAACCATTAGCTTAATGAATACTAACTAAAAATTAAAGACAGTTTCATTATTATATATTTCTAAAATATCAACACCAGCTATTTTCCTAGATCAATAAGCAGGCAAGGAAGTCCAGTCAGTAGCTATAGTTGAGAAAAGATTCTTCCTGTCCCCATGCCTTGCTTTGGAACAAGCATCCTTGCTCTTCGAAAGTTTTATTATCCTGCAGTTTGGGGTCTATAGTGTTTTTTCTCTTGTACTCTTTGAATTGATTCCCCTCATTACAACAAGAGGAAAAATAAGATAAAGTCATGACTGGTGTTCAGAGTATGAAATAGCCAAAGAAAATCCAACCTTTCTGCCCCTCCCCCGAGAAGAATTTATCTCAAAGGATGGCACTGAATCTGCAGCTTCGGGAGAAGGATATATCTGACCAGAGCACACAGGAGCAGATGACAGGGGAGGAGGAGAGATTGGAGC